CTGGAAAAGTTCTGGAGCCAATTATTAAAAAATCAGTCTGCATGTACATCAAAGAAAATGGAGTGGTTAATAAAAGCCAACATGAATTTATCAAAAATAAATCCTGTCAGACTAATTTAAACTCATTTTTTCACTGGGTAACCTCCCAAATGGACAGAGAAAACACTGTGGAAATAATCTACCTTGACTTTAGCAAAACTTTCAACATAGTGCCCCCACAACATTCTGATAAGCAAATTAGCAAAAAGTGGACTAGATAAAAAAAACTATTAGGTGGATCCAAATTTGGCTGCTAAATCCATTACAAAGAGTGCTCATGAATAGCACCTTCTCAAACTGGATGGAGGCAACGAGTGGGGTGCTACAGGGTTCAGTCCTAGGCCCAGTGCTCTTCAACATCTATATTAATGATTTAGATGAGGAAGTACAAGGAAAGGTAATCATGTTTGCAGATGATACAAAACTGGGAGGAACAGCGAACATCCTAAAAGAGAGTATAAAGATCCAAGGCCATCTTGATAGACTTGAATCCTGGGCTGAAAGCAACAAAAAGAGATTCAGCAGGGACAAATGGCAAGTCCTCCACCTGGGAAAAAGAAACCAAAGGCATTGATACAAGATGGGGAACACGTGGCTCAGCAGAACCGAACAAGAAAAAGAACTCAGAGTAATTGTGGACAACAGGCTAAGCATGAGCCAACGATGCAATGCAGCCGCCAAAAGGGCCAATGCTATTTTGGGATGCATCAACAGAAGAATTACTTCCAAATCACAAGAAGTAGTAGTTCCTCTATACTCCTCACTAGTCAGACCTCTCCTGGAATACTGTGTCCAGTTCTGGGCACCAAGATTGAAGAAAGATGCAGCTAAATTAGAAAGGGTCCAAGGGAGGGCAGCAAAAATGACCCAGAGTTTGGAAACACGGCCCTGTGAGGAGAGACTGAGGGAACTGGGCCTGTTCAACCTTGAGAAGAGAAGGCTGAGGGGGGACATGATATTCTTCTATAAGTACCCCAAAGGCTGTCACAAAGAGGAAAGTAAAGATCTTGTCCAGATACCAGAATGTAGGACACAGAATAACCAACTCAAGTTGTGACAACCCAGATTCAGGCTAGAGATACCATATTTCCCTGAAAATAAGCCCTAGCATGATTTTTCAGGATGCTCATAATATAAGCCCTACCCCCAAAATAAGCCCCAGTTAAGATCGTCAGCCAGATGGACACATTTATTATGTCTGTTGAAACACATGATGGACATACTGAATTATAAAATAATAATATTAATATATAAGTAAATATAAGTAAATAATATTATTGACATTAATACTTAAAATAAATGATGATATAAATTATAATCACATATTTCTAAATACTCAAACGGGCGCCTTTGGATGAGAGGTAAAGGCCTATGTGAACAGATGAATTCAAGACTTATTGCTGAATGACCTGAACGAGCGCTTACGTCCGTATATGCCCGACCGCCCTTTGAGATCTGCGGGAGAGTCCCTTCTCCGGGAACCCTCCATGAAAGAAATTAGGAGAGTAAGTACCCGGAGGAGGGCTTTCTCTGCGGTGGCGCCCAACCTATGGAATTCACTTCCCAAAGAGGTCCGCCTGGCACCGTCGTTACTGGTTTTTCGGCGCCAGGTAAAGACCTTTTTATTTAAACATCATTTCAATTGTTAAAACATATGATCTGGCCTGGGCAACTTCTTCTTCCTTCTCTTTCTCATCCTATATTTTTATTTTATACTGATAATTTTAATTTTGTATTTGTAAATCAATGTATTTTTTGTATTTTTATATTTAATGGTAATTTATTATGTACTATTGTATTTCAATGTATTTTATCATGTTGTAAGCCGCCCCGAGGTTTCGGCAAGGGGCGGCATAGAAATGTTATAATAATAATAATAATAAAAAATGACCAATCAGAATACAGACGCAACGCATGAACAACATGCACACTTGACAACGGATGTGTTTCATAATTCAATACACTGTGTGTTCCAATGGATGTACATAATGCACTCGTGTGTTGCCACTCCTGTCTCATAAGTCTTCAATTAACATTTGATTTAATGGTAGTTTTAAAGGGAATAATATTTTGATCCCCAGACAAGATAAGTGCAAAAAGAAAGAGTTATTCTGTCGAGTACAAGAAAGGAATCAGGGCAAGAATCTTATGGCTTTCATAAGAAAAAATAAGACATCACCTGAAAATAAGCCCTAATGCTTCTTTTGGAGCAAAAATTAATGTAAGTATATTATATTAATATAAGTTGCTCACAAAAGCAGAGAGAAGCAAAATTCCTGAGAAAACCAAAGGTGGCGGAAGGAGGACTGAGGGAGGGCACGGGGACCCCTCCCATATATAACGGTTGCCAGGGTTCCTAGCTGTAAAATCTTCTTGACAACAGGCTCCCCGCAGGCACATGTGTGTCACACACCGAGACCAGGAAGGCGAACCAGAGTGCACCTGCTGTCCAGGATCTTTAACCTGCTACAGACCCTCCTCCTGAACCTCAGTTGGAGTCCTTAACATTGGCGCCTCAGACCCAAGTAGCGTCAAGTAATCCAGGCAGCTGAGGAAAGCCGCTTCCTGCCAGGGTATCCAGTACCATCTTGGCAGACTCTGGAAAGCTGCCGTCCTTACCAGGGGAGTTGCCCTTCTGTGAACTGCTTCTTCTTTCTCTGCATTTGGTTGGGATGGAGGGAGCAGAGTCTTTGGCACATTTGCTGAGAGGACCCACCTCCGAAATGAGGAATCCGATCTGCTCGGAAGTTATAACTGCCTCTGATGGATTTGTCTGACACTTGATATTAGGCTCCTCCTTGGAAAGAAAGGAAATAAAACAATTATTAAATGTTTGCACATGGGTCCTTTTGATAGTCCCCTGAAGACTTTATTCCAAAACAGATGCATTATTTTTGCTTCTGGCCCTTCCTCCAAAGGAATCCATGGTGGTGTACACTGTTTTTCTCAACCACTGCATCCTTTTATCCCCACAGTGAACCTGTAAAGAAGAATTCTCTGAGCTAAAATAACTGGTCCAAGTTTATCCAGTGCGTTTTGTGGCTGTCAAGGGATCTGATCCTGGGTCTCTCTAGTCCCAGGTCAAACTCTAACCACTATAGCATACTCTCTCTCCCCCATTATGATCACATTATTCAACTTGTGCATGATGCACAGCATAAAGTATTTGGGACACTATAAATATTATTCCTAACTTTGGGAAGCAAGCACTTGACCGAACTGTAAATTGTGTTATTTTGACCCTAATTTAAATAATGCCTTACCAGAGAAGAAGATTCAGGCGAGGTTATCACTGCAGCACATGCCTTGGCTTAACAGAATATGACTTAGCCCATACCTGTGGCTGAGTGAATGAAAGCTCCTCTTGTACAAACATCACCGAAGATGGGGCTGGCGGCCGGTTCAGCTCTTCCTTCAGCTTTGCCGGTGCTTGCTGTGGGGCTGCAGGCTGCTGCGCTGTTTGTGCTGTGCTGTTCTCCACAGGCTCAGTGGTGTGGATGGTGTAGATAAACTCTGGGGACTGTGGCAAGGAGCATGCTATGGCTTGATCCGACTCTACCACAAAGGATGTAATATCTGAGCCCACGGGTGTCAAGGGCTCTAGGTGGCTGGCTTGGCCTGAGCAAGGCGCATCGCTGTTCGTTGGATTAACTAGCAACTGCTGGCCCCGGCCCGACTGTGAGGTCGGGCACTGATTCTCCACTGGCTCTACTTTGACCATTTCCAGCTTGGGGGATGTATGCATCTCATCTACAATCTGAAAAACAGCCTCCAAGTTGACTTCTGTCTTCTTGTTTTCATCTGATGTGTTGCAGGACCAATTAGAAGGCAAAAATTCAACTGGGTATGAGGACTGCATTGGTGGATTCTGGTAAAGCAAATACAGTGGAATAAATATATGTATGTATGTCTTAGATTTGTCTTTTTCAAAGCAAGTAAACCATCACCCTGTCCCAGACAGATATAATATGGCAGTATGAAGGAGACAAGGGGAACATGAAGCACCTTTTCAGGTTTTCAGACTTTTTAGTTTCTTGATCTTCCTGAAAATTGGAAATGCTTTAAATGAACATGGCAATTTTCTTTATAGACATGCAGGCAATTAATCTTGCTAAGTTTTTAATTTACAAATGCAATGGGCATTTCTTTGTAAATTAAAAACTAGGCACTGCTGAATTAAGTTTCGCAAAAAATATAAATTTGACAACTCGTATCTATAGAGTATGATTCTGATTATATGATTAGGAATCTATTTATTTATTTAGCTTCTAGACCACCTAATAGCTGAAGCTGTCTGAGCAACAACAATACTGTGCATTAACAACTTTTTATGGTTCAAGGGGGTGTCCTCCCCACCACTCTTCCTTAAAGAAAAGGCTGTAAAAGCAGAAGCAATTTTTTAAAACTCTGCATTTAGTATTAGCAGTTAAGTTGAATCTATCCCAGATTAGATTGCTGTAGCAGATTGTTTTGGCCGGGATTTTTAAAAAACTTTTTTTCCAGAAAAGTCATCAATTAAGAAACCCCCAGTGAATTATTTGCATTGGGCTGGTTCACACAATCAAAACAACCCTACAACAGCCCGTGGATTATTTCAGGATGGTGGCAAATCTCCCCTTAATTTTAGGCTGGTGGCATATATTATGCAGCCTTTAATGCATGGTATACAGTTGTAATAAGTAGCAAAAGCATATACACCAACAGATATGTAAGTCAGGATAACAAGACACATTCATCTTGTTCTGAATGGTGAAACAGGCTTCAGCCTTGTTTCCCTCAAACTGTAACCTCCTTGTGGCATATGGCAAGGCACTTTTGAAATGGCCATGAGTTCCAAAAATGAGTTGCAAAACGACATGTTAAGGTGTCTTTTGTTCAAAGAAACAAAGGCATATATTGCATTGGGCATGCCTAAACTGGCTTATTGTGCTATTTTGTAAACTTACCTGAAAATAACTGCAGTGTGTATAAGTTGAGGCTGTGGGACTACAGCATCCACTTAGGGGATCCATATGTGTGGGTGGAGAGCAGCATTGCAGTACAGCTGGAAATCAATAAATAACACTGTAGACAGTAAAAGGCCTTCCCAGACAGAGTGGATAAAAATCAACAATGAAAAACCAGATTTTTAAACATTCAAATCAGATTTTTAAAAATTTAAATTGGATTTTTTTTAAATAAAATGCTTTCTGAGGGAAAAAACCCATCAATAGATAGTTTCCTATTTAAGATACATTATAGTCCAAAGGTTATTAATCCTTTGAATAACCTTTGAACTATAAGGATTCATTTAATTAGTATTAGTTTTTAATTATGTAGCATGAGGTTATATATTTATTTAGAATATTTATTTATTTAGAATATTTATATGCCGTCCTTTCGCAAAAGCCTCAGGACAGTTTCAATTTTTTGGTCAATGAATTCCATTAATCCATTCACAATGCCATGCTCTTCCAGAGGTTTCTATAAGATTACTGGGCATTTTTCTATCTAGAAGACATTATCACAGATGCTTGGCTTTACAGTTCTCGTGAATTTGTGTCTGCAGAGATCATGTGCTCTTCCTCACAGCAAAAATGTTATAAAATAAACATACAGAGTTGAAAAAAAGACCTTAGTCCCATTGCTCCTTTACAAATCTATGTATATAGGATCAACCCCTTACCTCTTAAGAGCTACATTTCAAAAAATTCAATGAACAGAAGATTGTTGGGAGCGGACTAGATCTGCACAGGAAGCGAGGCGTGAGGAGGGAGGGGCAAGCAGGACAAATGAAAGTGAAACCTGTTCTGCTTCACCAGTCTTTGGATGTTTTTGTGCATAGCCTGAGATTTATCTTATTATTCTGTCCCTGGAGGAGAAAACCTATAATGGCAGCAGGGTGTAAAAGAGACCCAGTTTGGGAATATTTTAATGAAGTTCATCTACTTGAGGGTAAGGCAGGCATGCGTGCAAATTATGCAGAAAACCATGATTTAATTCTGGTCTTACTAACTAGTGATTTAAATCTATTTATTTAAATCAAATCCACCCTATTCCCAGACATTAAAAAACACTTCTGGGTTGCATTTTTACTATATATTCTTGTTCTGCTAGTGCCAAAGTAGCATCAGAAATGCAGTAGACACAGTCCCCGGGTTATGAACGTCCAAGTTACGAACAACCCATACTTACAAATGAACTGCCATGAAGCCAATTTAAACATGAGTTAAAGACAAATGGTTTGTACCGTTGGGGGTTTACAGTCTGCTACGGAAAATGGTCATCACCACAGGGAAAGAAGCAAAGGGGGAGGGGGGGTCAGCAAGCATCACCATGGAGAGAAAGCGAGTGCAACGGGAGAGAGGGGAGCCACCAAAGCATGTCTTTCTGCCCTGCCCATCTGGAGAGGGAAACCTCTCCAGTATTTCCTTGCTGCAAAGAGGAGGCACTGGTAAATTTGGGCGGGAGGGGATGCTAGAGATATCCACAGATTTTCCACTTTTGGGAGAGTCCTGCACCCCTAAGCCCCACAAATGGTGGAAGGCTGGCTGTGTTTGGAAGTGTTTCTTAACTGTTTTATACAGGTGATCCAACTTACATACAAATTCAGCTTAAAGACATTATCAGGAACGGAACTTGTTTGTAATCCAGGGACTGCCTACATTCTTATACTCTATCAATGTGTTAAAGACAGAAGCGGCCCTACTGAAACAAAGTTATAGAAAGGTGTGCCTCTCTTCTTGGAGAGAAGGCCACAGCTTCTAATGACCTAAATAAGAAGTATAATAATTGCACAATGACAGGATACCTCTTACCAGAGAAGGGAGCAGCCTTGCTGAAGTTGATTCTGAAATCAAGCACTCCCTTGCCTCGGTGGTCTATGGTGCTGCTAACTTGCATATGGCAATTCCTGACATACGGCATATTGCAAAATGCTTTGTAATATGGCCACCATTATGGCCAACATGGCCACCATTATGGCACCCAAAACCCGCTGCATCAGATGGGCACTTCAGTGGGCCTGGTGGGAAATGTGGATGAGGAAGCCACAAGAAGAGAAGGAGGCACACTTCCCGCTGCTTTTCTTAGGATGCCTTCAAACAAGCTGCTACAGAGGGCTAAGTACAGCTGGCTGTTCTGCATGCACACCTCCTATCAGTGAACAGACGACCTATCCAAATCAAAGCAGCCTTTTCTGGGCTCACAGTAGCTCATCTGTGTATGCAAATTTATTCTTCCTGTTTGCAGACCAAGCGGGATTGCTAAAACATTAAATGAGCTACTATTTGAACCCAGGCCAGTCTCTGTATACTGAAATGTAATTTTCAAGAGGGCACCCTAATCCTTTTAACCCTAAAAAACGTTTAAAAAACTAAATAATGAGGTCATTAGCGGTTTAACATTCATAAAAATAATGGTGTTGACATGCATTTTCCCACTCTGTAAAATATAAATTTCATTTTTCCAGAGGTATGGGGGATAATCAAATCTCCTTGGAAGTGTTCCAGCACTTTAATAAGTGTCTAAATGTGACTTCAGTAAATCACCAGTTCTGAAGATGTGCTGATACTTCACAAAATACAACCCTTCTGAATTGTTCTTTGCTAAGACAAATACTCAAAGCTGCTACACTGACAACTGGAATAGGCAGTGAAGATGTGACTGATGACTGATCTATGCTAAATCCCTACTAAAACTGCAGTGTCTGAAGTGTACACATGTTTAGATATGTGTGTGTTTATAATCATAAATGCTACAAGGGCCATGGGATACCACAGCAGGTTTTTGTGGGAGCCATGACAGTGGTTCTTAAAAGCCATACATATGTGCTTCAGAAGGTCTGACTTCCATGGTTACATAATGGAGGCTTGTACGATGGAGCCCTAAAGATCAAAGCCATTCTTAGGCTTGATCTTAGGCAAAAATACCATTTTTGATTCAATTTAAAGTAATGAAATGAATGTAAACATTTTTCCCTTATCAGATCCAAGTCATATATTTAGGAATTAGTTGTGAAACTGTAGCTGCTTCCCTTGTTATTCTGTTTTGAAAGCAACAGCAGGATAAATTCCAAAACAAGGGCCACCTTGTTGGTGGCAGCACACCTATTTTGGATAGCAGAAGACCGAGGTTCAGTTATGGCATCTCCAATTAAAGGAGCACAGACTGTGGAGAGAACCCTCTCTGTCCGAAGCAGCATGATTGGTCTGGATGGAGTTAAATCCTGAGGCTGCTTCTAGATGGAAGCTCTGCATTCTTGTCTTAGCAGTTATGGTCACTGGCCTGCTGCTGAAACAGACAGGTCGAATTGCCATGGGCTTCCAAGACTGGTGGGGTGACACTGCTTCTTGGGGAGGTGGGACCTGTGCATATGGATGTATCTCTTGAATGAGCAGAGGCAATTGCCAACCATATCCCATGAGTTCTGCCCAGGGATAATCTGCACATACAAATACGAAGCTACATTGAATTACTGCAGATAAGATATTCTAATGGTCTATTGGTGGGAGGGTGACGGGAGAGACTTTCCATTGTTGCTGCTATTAAACAACCGAGAGTCCAAAACCCTTGAGGATATATTACAGCTCATCAAAGCATCCAGTGATCCACCAGTAGATTCCAGTCTACCTTCTATCCAGTTTTATACATTAAAGCACACTTTTTCCCCTGAAATAATACTAGAGCATGTTACCTGTTGGGTAGTAAGCTTGGGAATATGGTGCTGAAGCGGCATAACTGGTATATTTCTGGGAAGAGGTGGCCATTGTCTGTGGCCCGTGCTGAATGTGCACAGATGTAGCGCTGGGCTGCAGAGTGTAAGTTACCTCTGTCGGAAACCTCTGGAGTACAGGAAATGGAACCCCTTTGTCTGAAAAGGTCGAGGCCTCCACCTGCCCGGGAAGCATCCCAAGGGAGTTCTGCCATGTTCTGGGAGGAAGAGAAGTCCGATCTGAACCTTTCAGAGGGAAAGTATTTTGACTGTGAGATGATGGTGACAGGTAGGAGTACGGAGATAAGCTGTCTCGCCGAAAAGACCGGTGAAACTGTCCTAAAGTCAGTGATGCTGCACAGGGAGAAAGGGTGAGGAATGAAAGATTCACTCGGTTCACTAGATTATCATGTATAGCAAGAGGCTTAAAGTTTCACATGCTGCATAACATCTAATTAAATTCGCTCAAAATTTGCTATTAATCAAAATGTATAGAAAGCAATACTCAAAGAAGTAACTCCCTATTTACAGACTGTGAAGCAAAATTATCCTCTTTGAATCAGACAACATATAGCCCTGGTTCAGGATTTCTTTTACTGTGTAATCTCTTCCTGTTTAAGGCATCAAGTCATGCCCAAATGTCACCACAGAGCGAAGAAACATTTAGATTGGCACACAGCCTGAATTTCCAGTTCAGAACTCAAAGATGCCTTTTGAACAGCAAGACTGTGATGTCAGCAGACTGAACTTACCCAAACATCTCTGTGGTGCAAGCCCTCTTGATTGATATGCTCAAACTGCTGATACTACACTAGCACAGGGAACCTTTGTATATTCATTTAAGAATATATGGATATTCTGCACTTCAGAAAAACCTTTCTCAGGATGGTTTACAGCAACCATATTTCTTCTTCATCATCACCATCATAATCCATGATGCAATATAGAAACATCAAATAGAATGACAATGCAGAAGCAAAAAGCAACAAATAAAAAAGATTAAAATTCAACATTAAGGGGTTTGAGAAAATAAAGCTTTGAAAAAATAAAAACATCCCAACATTTTCCCAGGAAGCCATGCTGCCTCTAGCAATTCTTGGAGTTGTAGGACTTTATCTAATCATGCATAAGATTGTGTCCTTAGTCCTTCGGCTTGAAACATGTGAACGTGTGGTGTGGGACCGGGACTCGGGCGATCCGGGTTCGAGTCCCCGCTCAGCCATGGAGCCAACTGGGTTACTCTGGGCCAATCACAGACTCAGCCCAACCTGCCTCACAGGGTTATTGTTGTAAGAAAAAGACTGAGAACAGGGATTGAGAGCAGGAGGTGGAGAATTATGAAAGCCATTTCGAGTGTGTTCTAAAAGTGAGATATACATCTAATAAATAAACCTAGTATTCGGTGCAGTCCTCCTCCAGATGCCTCTGCCAAATGAAGCAAGAGGGTGGCTACTAAGAACAGGGCCTTTTTCTTGGCAGCACTGCAACTCTGTACAATGTCCTCCCCAGAAAGGATTGCTTGATGCCCACCTGACTGTTTTTGGTGTCAAGTGCAGACTTTAAAATAAGAATCTCCCAGGCATTTTAAGATCAGTTTTTGTTGTTTTATATCATAATTCATTTATTTTGTAGATGATTTGTCTTTTACTTGTTTTACCTTTTTGTGGATCATTTATCAGAGATATAAATATGGGCAGTTTTTACTCATTGTTTTGTTCGTATTTTGTGTATTTATCGTGCACTGACTATAGAACCTGGGCTATTCAGCAGTTCAGAAGGGCAATCTATCAATCAATCAAGGAAGATATATCTGGTCACCATTTGATGATGGCGGTACCCATGAGATGACCTCAATGATGGCTGCAGTGTACAGGCAGGCTCAGATGGAAGTGTTCCTTAAGGTTTTATAAATTAATATATTTATTTCCCAGCTTTTCCTGTGAGGAACCCAAAGCAGCTTACTTAATCCTCCTCCACTCTATTTTAAACTTATAAAAACCCTGGGAGGTCAGCCAGACCGGATCAGTGACTCACCCAAAGACCAAGAAGTGAATTGAACTCAAATCTCCTGAGCCCTAGTCCAGCAGTCCTAACAATTTCCCTACAGTGGCTCAGTGTTCCAATGAAGGGCTTCAAAGAACGGAAACCTTCTCTAAAGCACGCAGGAGCCAATGAAGTTGTCTCATCTCTGGCAAAATGCTTTCCTGGCACCCTGCTCCAATGTGCAGCCTCACGTAAGTTTTGTTTTTAAAACAACTTTCCAAACTGTCCTCTTAGGCAACTCAACCTGCAACACATCGCAGGACATGTTACCATAGGTTGGCGCACCACCAGGCCTTCTGGTAGAGACTCCAGATCTGGTCATGGTGAGACCTGCCCTAATTACATGTGGATAGTTGTTGCAATACAGTCTACATGGAGCTGTCCATGAAGAGTTCTCGATTCAGAGACTGGACAACCATTCTCCAGGATACTTGAACTGGATTCTTGTGCTAGATTTAATGGCCTAAGTGCCTCCCCTTGCCGACACGCTTTTTCGTAAGCAGCTGCTGCCAGGCAGTTGACTGAGAAAGGGTGGAAGTGGCTTTGACAACAACTGAGCATATGAACTTGCAATTAGTTTCTGGGCCCTATTCAGGCTATCAGTGATGTCATTTAATCAGTGATGTCATTTAAAGTCAGCCATCTGGGACTAATATATCTGATGAGCTACCTTCTTCTGTGCAAATTTGTCTACTTAATGAGATCAACTGATGCCCTTGTGAATATCCCAAAAATCTCAGAAGAAAGCTTAGCTGGCATGAGAGATTTTTCAGTGGTTCTACTTTGGAACTCCCTCCTGCAGGAGGTTTTAACTTCCTATCAAGTGTTTTAAATATTCCTTCTTGGGAAAGCTTTGAGCCAGGGTAGTTGTTCTCTCATTTAACCAACTTACTAGAGGTTGGTTAAATTATTTTCAATATGTGTCAATAATTCTTATCTTTCCATTCTGCTGTTTTTCTTCTTTTGGTACTTTATTATTATTTTACAGTTAAACATAATCTCATTGTTGCTAGGTTTCTGAGCTCAACTGAGGAAAGGTGGGATATACATGTTTTAACATTAATCAAAGTGGTTGGAGCATGAAAAAGACCCCACCATACCTGGGCTGTGCACCAAGTGTAGGCCAATTCATGCAAAACTTCTTTGTTCTGCATGCGTGGCTTGTTGTTCTGGCAGCAAGAACACATCGAAATATTTCACACATCAAAATAAACATCCGTGTTTTTCACATCTCTTACTGTAGGGGCGGGGCCCTCCAGATGTTGGAGTGCAAGTCCTTTCAGCCCTGGCAAGCATAACCAATTGTGAGAGTGATGGCACTCCAGCATCTGGAAAAATCACGTTCCCGTCTTGTCGGATAGCATAATTGACGTTTGTGTAGAATCACTCTGTGAAAAGTCCCCGACTACAGGATGCAGTGCAAGAATGCACAGCAAACGTTCTTCTAAGCCGAGGCTCTCTCACCCTCAGGACGACCAGTTTACAGACTATCTTTTCCAACCAGTTTTGAGACCCAGGTGGCTGGTGATGGACAGAACTTAACATTTTTCATTCTGTCAAAAATGGAGGAGGAGGAAAGCTTCCCCCAGTGCCCCTCATCTAGTTTCCTGTTTGTTTCGGTGTCTTGTTGGCCATCTAATGGGTGCAGAATCAGCTCTTGGGCTTGAACACCAAATACGATGAACAGTTTGTGCACCCTAATGCATTAGAATGAGAGAGAGTGAGAAAGCAAGAGAACCTGGCCTTTTGTGAAAATTGTTTAGTTGCTGGGAGCTATAAAAATACTGGATATTGGTCCTGACTAAGACAATGAGGCACGTACTAGAGGAGGACTGGGATGAGAAAGAGTTTGAGACTAATTCATCCATGTGGGAGACCTGGGTGAGTATGAAGAAAATAATCTAATCAGAGAAAATGGTGACTGGAGGCAGCAAACTGTACCAGAAATTTACGCTATGTTTGACAAATTGTGCAAACATGAACAAAAATGAATCAAATAATGCATTTCTACACAGCTATATTTAGGACACAATCTTACACATATTTAGACAAAAGAATTTCCAGCATGCTGGGTTGACATGCTGTGAACTGTAGGATTTTTTTCTGTTTAAACATAAATTGTATTATGCCCAACCTGCTTAACCCACTCTTTCTCCACAAGCTTTCTTCAAAAGGTAGTCCTGGATAAAATCTCAGACTCTTCATAGAACTACAGTTTGCAGGGTTAAGGAAAACATGGCACTTTAGATAGGTTTTCATTAAGTGCCTGGAAGGAGGGCACCAAGAGGGGCATTTACTTTGGGCTAATTAGTCATTAGACTAAGTGACTGAGGATTGAGGACACATAAATAGTTTATTTGCTTCTCATTGGAAGTCTCCTTAGCCAAGGCACTGCTGATGGGAAAGAAGAAAGTGCACATTCAGCCAGATTTAAGTGTTTTTGGAGAGCTGGACTATTTCTTTTCAAGCAGGGTGGTCTCAGAACTTTCCTCCTGCCCTTTAATAACGGCTTATGGATGTAGAAGAGATTCAGGTCTCTTGTGATTATGAATGCAGAGGGTTGTGGTGGCTTGGGGTTAATTTGAAGCCAAAAGGTGTTGAAGCCAACCCCTTTCCTTCATAAAGAGGCTATGCTGATTTCAGTGAGGTCTACCTTCAAACCTCAGCTGGCAAACTGTGGAGGTGGGTGGGACCATGTGGGTGAAAACGCTGCATCTGAGTGCTTTCCACTTCCTCTACAATGACTGAAAAGGTGTCATGCGCAGCAGTCACAAGAGACCAAAACTGAATGCCAAAACTCAGCAATGGAAGATACTGCAATCTTTCACAGGCGTGTGTATTTTGTATCAGCCACTGAGTAACCACAATCACTGTGCATATGTCTCACCCTCAGTATCTGGGATTAGAGCGCACAGTTGCCATGCATGTCTGAGCCAAGAGAGGCGTGTCTCTCTACAAAGGAGCTGAAATCTGTTTAATTTAAAACTAGGGCGCAATCCTATGCAAGTTTAGACAGAAAAAAAGGGTACAACTCACAGCTTGCCCCAGGCAATGCATGTACTCAAACACATTTGGAACTCAAGATGACCCTTCTTCCAGCTGATGAAATGGGCTGCAGTCCATGAATGCTAATAGATGTTGTAAGATTTTAAGATGCGACATGACTCTTGGTTTCTCCTGCTGTGACAGATTGCAACCCCTCCAGCCTTTTCTGTATCATTCCAATTACATATTAATAAATATGCAAGTTTTGAAGGAGCCACAAGGGCATTTGTTATTTCTGCTGCAGTGGATTGTGACCCCTCTGAAAGTGGTGATGTTACTAACACTTGTGGACGATGTGGGGCCAATACTTGTCTTCCCCAGCTGGACGCACCCCTGCTTGCTGGGCATGATGGAAGCTGCAGTCGAACACGTCTGGAGGCCATGCAGCTGGAGAAGACTGAGCTAAGCTAGGCCAGGGATGGGCAGAAAAGGATCTTTCTGGACACTGTGCCCTGCAGTCCCTTGAATTCCTGCCCCTTGGCCACCCTGGCAGGGCTTCTGGAAGCTGAGCTCTAGAACATCTGGAATGCAACCTTCTGTCGACCCCTGAACTAGGGTCATTCAAAGGATGTGTGTGCCCCCAACCCACCAGCAGCTCTCGTTCTGGTCTCTCAAACACTGAGCCTCTGAGTAAACGCTGGCCCTCCTTGCTGTGGCTCCCTAAGGGGCACACACTCTGCACATGCTCCTGAACCACTGCGTGCGGCGTGAGGAGGAGCTGGTGGGCAGGGCTCCTCCCGCGGTGCACGCGGCCGGTTCCAGACCGCTCCCCACGAGCGAGCGCGAGGCAGGAGCAGCGCAGGCGGCTCCCCGGGCCGCGGGCTGGGCGGGCGCCCTGCGCCCTGCCCTGCCCACGCCTTGCGCGGCGCAGGGTGCGGAGCCGCGGGCCGCGCCGCCCCCCGCCCGCCCGCCTCTC